AATTTGGCCGCTTTTCGAGCGAGCTGAATAGTCTACATCCATTCAACCTTGAAGAGCTTATTGCCGGTCTAATCCGACTCAAACATGGTCGGAAAAACCTGCCACAAGTCGACAGAGACATTCTCTAACTGGAATATCAAAGATTACACACGCGAAAAGGACAATAGTTACGTGAGCCTGCGCGAATGATTCAACACCGCTTCTCGCGCTTCCCGAGATGTACCTTCGCGCGCGCGATATCCGCGTGGTAGTCGCGCACGCCATTCGGCTCCTGGTATTTCGCCATGCCCGTTCGACTATAGAAAAACGGATTACTCTTTTTCCCATTATATTATTTACGTCTCCTGAAACTATCTGAAACTGATAAAGTTTCTGCAAGCAACTATGCAAAGCTAGAGAAGAAACAACGATCAGACAAGATTTTTCAAAGTTCCTTGGGTCAAAAGGTATGAAAGGGATATAATAGCAGACAAGAGGATATAGACGGCACTAAATTTTCCAATCCTCCAAGATTAGATTGGGCAATAAAATAAATACACTGACAACCAATAGAAAGTAAAGTTAACTATATTATGTGCAACTCAAAGACTTTACAGTGAAATAGTTTGGGGGTAACTCAGTTTTTTTCCAACTCCTTAAAATGTACAACTATGGATTGACAAAATTAATACAAAAAACAGACTAGACAAAAGCAACAGGGCCTGCTGGAACCACATTAATTCATTTAAAATTATTTTTCTTTTGATCATATATAATTATTTTAGTCCAAATTATGAGATAATCTTGATCATCACACCTTAATAACAAAAATCATAATTCCAACTACCAGTAGGTTCCTGTGGCTACTATAAATTTACACATTTTTTAATGAGACCTGAGCTATAAAGTTCTAAGTCTTTAGGCTGACAGCTTATGTGCAGTTCAGTCATTCATTGCCCTCCAGCTTCCTGTTCTTCCAGCTGAAAAATAAATCATGTTATTTTTAACTCAGAGAAAGTCAGGGTCACAAGAGCCGCGGCCGGGGATGATGGAAAGGATCAGGGAGACTGGGGCTAGGGATGAGGGGATCGACTGGGGGAGTGTGTGGCAGGGGGGCAGGGGGTGGGTGGCTAACGTAGTTAAAAGAGAATTAAGGTTTGTAATAAAAGGATTTTATGATTGCATCAGGAGCATTTAGGGGCCAACTGAAACGAAAGTCTATAATGCACAGTGTTAAAAAACAAAAACAAAAAAAAAACTGATGAAAAAACTGATAACAAAGAGTGCTCTTTACCTTAGCTCGCTCAGCAGGAGTCATGTTTATTGACCAGGCACCTTCTTTAGTTGACTGCAGAGAAAAAAACAAAATTATTAAATATTCGTAAACGTAATTTCGGGTAGTAGATGTGATATTGCATAATTTTTTTTCAATTCTGACATCTTCGAAGGTACTGAAGTCTCAAAGGGCCTAACCTGAAATCAACTCTCTTTTGAACAACACCTTGATTGAATTTTTTTTTTGCGTGAATATTTGATTGACTTGATTTTAACCCATCGCGCTTGCAAACTGTAACCTGTAAAACGTTTTACGTTGCGTGCCTACAAAATCATTATGCATTAATTATCACTTAACCAATGTAAACAACTGCGTCTCGTTCTCAAATTTTTGTGATTTCTTTTCGTAGGCACATGTAAACGCATTTTCACTACAATAAAACACGCAAATAACTGTTATGATTCACAATAAACATAAGTAGAGTCTTCACTGTCGGCAGTCGCCTTGCTCACTCACGGCTAATGTGCGTGCAAAACAGCACGTTTCACAGTAGAAGGCGAAAAGGGCATGACGCAAAAGTTGCAACTATTGAACTTTCAACTACAGATCTTTCATTGAAAAAAGTAACATAATCTCTCCTTCTTTTGTTGAAAAAAAAAAACGCTTGAAACCTCTGCCTTACCTAAACGCAAGCAAGAGCTGATAACAATGACTTTTTTAGCAATTATCCAGTAGAGACAGTGGCCATGCCCGCGCGCTGAGACATGGCGGAAGAAACAACGTTAGTTTACAACGGATTGAATCCGAATTCTGAACCTTACCCATACAATTGCAGTCGACAGAAGACCAAGCCCCAGAACCAACGTTCCCCATTCCTCTTTGGAAGTTTCTGTTTTTGCTTGAGTGTAACGAGCAACACTTCGGAGAGTCTGTCGAGAAATTGTGGCCCCCAAGGGACGGAGAATTCTTGAAAAAACTTGGAGAGACATAGTTAAGAGTTGAATCAAGTGTACAGCTGATTAAGCCTTGAATCTATCAGGACTACCAAACGACTGAAAATCGAAAGCGTCTGGACAACAAACAGAGCAACACAGGTGATACAGTAAGTTCGCGCGACACAATGAGCTGGGACGTGATATGTTGACACCGGAACTTGTTTTTATTGGGCGGTGAATGGGCGGTGGCCATACCATCGAGGTGTCACGTCACGCGATGAACACACTAAATTAAAAAAACTAAAAGCACAATTGACAGTTTTTTGCCTCCCTAGGGCTGAAAAAAGTAAATCTATAGGTGCAAAATGTCATAGTTGGCATGAACATAAAATTTTTCCTTTTTTCATTTGCAGCTTCCTGCTTCGTTTGATTTTCCTGTTTCGTGACTTACCTGTAAATGGCGTCACAAGTTATATCAAACCGAAACGAAAAGTCACGAACACAATAGTTTAGCAACAGATCAGAAGGAACTGATTTCTTTTCCGTCTTTTTATTGTAATTTTTTTTGTACGAAAACTTCAAACGTTCCTTTTAAAACGACTTAATATTTCCTATCTCCTTTACTTAAATTCTTTGGCCCAGGTAAAAGTCACTATTTGTTCAGTCGAAAAGCAATAAATCGTGTGGCCAATAGGAGCTAATCACAGACATTAAATGTAAAACTGTTATTTGCTCTTTATTGATATATTTCGGAAAAATCCATTGAAATATCTGCTGGGTGTTATGTGTTACAACTGAAAAATTTTAATACAGGAAAGGGGGAAAAACTTTTAATCATATCAGAAACGTAAGCATATGACTCAGATAAATTAAAGTATTCAACATCAATCTTATCTTACGTTCTATTTTTTTACAGATTTTGGAATTTAAACTTTATACCACAAAAACGTCCATGAAAACAATGCTGATATGTCTACAGTTTATATCCAGCTAGCTAACACAAAGACAAGCCAGTAACAATTGACCAGAACTAGCAATAAAAAAGTCATTGTTAGGTACACTGTATCTGTAACTGTTACAGCATTTATCATTTTCACAAAGGTACATTTTTTGAGCCCTTGACAGTAAGTTCAGTGTAAGAACTATCCTCATTTGGATTCAACTTCAAAGTCCTTGTCAAGTTTCCATTTCTGATACCCCTGAAAAAATAACATAATTAAAAAGAGGATATTACATTGCACACAGAGATATGAAACTTCTCTTTCAGTGTTGAAAAATAATTCAGGAGTGAGCAGGAAAATATTTCAGGAGTGAGCAGACCAAACAAGTGAGATATTCTTCAACATGAGAAGAGAAATTTCGTGTCTTGAAGTGGTCATTTAATGTCCTGTTAAATAAACACCAATGAAATACCAAACCATTTTACTTTAATAGTTTTTGGTTGTGAAAGGTGCGATTAATTATGTAGCCACAGCAATTGTGATCTTTTCGCATGTAAAGATATCATGTTTTCGCCCAAAAGTTCACCTTCAGCACCTTCATTGGTGTTTATATAATAAAACTATTTAATAGTTGGGTCACACTTTCACTCACAGAGCCATGAATACATGTAACGACATTTTAACTTTTCAAAACTTTCATATGGTATGTCTATTTTTATTGCACTTAGTTCTCATTTTTAAGTGTGAGGATGAAATCTTATGGTGCCACCGATCAAATGAAACCTCTTCAGCAGTTCCTTTACATGGTACCATTTGTTTTGGATGTAGTTCTAACTTTTGAGTCTGCTTATGAAATTCTATGGTGTGACCATTCAAATGAAACCTCTTCAGCAGTATTTTCACATGGTACTATTTGTTTTGAATGTAGTTCTAACGTTTGAGTCTGCTGATGAAATTCTATGGTGTGACCATTCAGATGAAACCTCTTCAGCAGTATTTTCACATGGTACTATTTGTTTTGATTGTAGTTCTAACATTTGAGTCTGCTGATGAAATTCTATGGTGTGACCATTCAGATGAAACCTCTTCAGCAGTTCTTTCACATGGTACTATTTGTTTTGGATGTAGTTCTAACATTTGAGTCTGCTGATGAAATTCTATGGTGTGACCATTCAAATGAAACCTCTTCAGCAGTTCTTTCACATGGTACCATTTGTTTTGGATGTAGTTCTAACTTTTGAGTCTGCTGATGAAATTCTATGGTGTGACCATTCAAATGAAACCTCTTCAGCCGTTCTTCCACATGGTACCATTTGTTTTGGATGTGTACATAGCTCAAACTTTTCAGTCAGTGCATGAAATCCTGTGGTGTGACTATTCAAATAAAACCTCAATCTTTAGCAGTTACGAAGATGGTTGAGATAGCTGAACTGTTTTAGACTATTAAACCCATCAACCTCTCCCTTAAAATCAGTTTTTGACTCGTCCCAACTCTCTGGTAGTATTAACGTCCAAGATGGCAGGATAACGTCATTCCCAAAAACAAATCATGGATCGCGCTCCAAAATATGCCTGCTTTGCAGGCTAGCAATTAAGGCAATAGACCATTTTACAGTTGAGGACTTAGTATCCTAGCCTTTGAGTGAATGTGAGGCTGGGGTTGACCTTCTTTTGATACAAACCTCCTTTTTTTCTTATGGAAATCATGCTCAGGCCAGGTTTTTATTAAGAATAACAGGGGCGGATCCAGGATTTTTTTTAGGAGGGGGTGTACTCGTCTCTTGCTCTACTTCAACACCAATGAACAATGAAAAAAGACTTCTCCAATCTCTGATCTCCGATGCCTTATGAACACCCTGCATGTTTGAAAAATACTACTTAGCATAAGAAAAACATTATTTACATAAGAAAGCAGGATAAGTAGTATCAAGACAAGGTCAACTCCACAGCCTTGTTTCTATCTACAGGGTACTTATCTTGAAAGCGCCAGCAGCTGGGTCAAAAACCGGCTGCTTGGAGGTTTGACCCGTCCAGTTTTTTGGGGAAATAGGGTAGAGTGAGAGAGTGAAAGCCTGAAATTGCTTACAGCACTCAGTCACCAAGCCACCTACTTTTACATCCTAGCTGTCTACTTTAAAACTTGATGAGAACCAGCTGCATCAATAACTATAAAAAGGCCTATAATACTGCAACCATAGAAAACCAGTGTTAACTCACAAAAGCAAACATGACACCACCAGCAGTTGCAATTCCTAAAGCAATCAAATTTTTTGAGTAGTTTGGTCCTTCTCCCTGTGTCCAAGAAGCATGTCTCTTAAGAAGAAAGAGTGCAACAGGAGATGAATGTATTCTTCTGATGAGATGCCCAAACATGTTGGTTCATTAAGCCCTTGACTTTATATGGACTTCACTGATGATTTCAGTTGTCTCTCAGGAACAGGGAACAAGGTCAGAAAAAAGCGCTGTTGAATAAAAATGGTCACAGGAATAAGTAGGATTTTGAATGGGTGATAGTTAAAGGAGTGCATGACATCAATATGCCCCAAGCAAAGGTAACCCTCAACATGATGTCAAATATATAATTTCTACCTTTAGCTTGCTTTGTTGCTCAAGCAAATACAAGGCAAGGAGAATCAAGCAGTTTGTCAAAAGTGACTTGGCACTTTTATAAAGTTATCACTTAAACTGAAATCGTGGATGGTAAAGACCGTGAGTGTGATTCAACACAAACTCAAAAAATGATAATTTTCACACAATCAACACCATATATCTTTGTCTAAAATACCTTAGAAGAAAAAACTTTCCAAATAAAAATTTAATGACAATATTGGTAAAGAAATTAAACTGGAATATCCACCAGAGTGAGGCAGTGGGGCAGGGGTAAAAAAAAAAACCCTGCATGGCATGGACTTTTGCGATATTTTCTGCAGCAACATCGTGAAAAAAAAGGATTAGCATAGTGAAACCAAACAGTCTGTAAAAAGGTGCAAAACCTCTTTCCGTTTCAGGCTATGGATGCTCCAAATCACCTGGTAAAGTCTGTGAGTACAAGTGCTAAAGGACGTTTTTGGTACGAAGGCGGGTCAAGAAGAAGTGTGGACGTTGACTAGCGCTGTAAAAAACGTAAGGAGTAACTTACTACTTTTCAAAGAACGTACATTAAAAGTATTTAAACACAAATCTTTAGATCATCAAAAATGATGTACTTCGCTGTTATCTTAAACCCTGTATAAAAGAAGAATTCACTCTTACCTAATATCCGCCATTGTTTTTACCCAGGCTTCCTCGAACACCGCGAAAACTCTCTTTAGATCCCAGTCCCTGCACTAGCCCAGCCCAGCCTTAAAATTATCACGCAGAAGTTCTTTTTGGGGCTTATCCTTCAATGTAGGTAGGTTGGTATGCTGAAACTGCCGAAAGCCCATCCTCTGAAAACAAGGGGCAGTCAGTCTAGTCAAGGGGAGAGGACGGGGACTGACAAATACCGGCGTAAAATTTTCCTCGGTTTTGGCAGGCGTTTGGTCATAGCATCATGTGGTAGCATCGTCCTCTATTTGGAGAAAATCATGAAATACGAGTCGGTTATGAATTAATATATTTATATTTTTGTTATTTGTAATAAATCTAAGATCAAATCCAATTTAAGATCTTGTTTTATGCCAAAAAGTAGCTTACACTTTAGATTTTAAAGTAGTCTGTGTAGATAGCGGTTTTAATTGGGGAGGGACATTTCCTGCGAACAGCAGACGCGTTTCCGGTCGTCGCTTCTCTCCCTCCTATTTTTCGGAGGGAGAGAAGCGACGACCGGAAATGCGTCTGCTGTTCGCAGGCTAGGAGGGGTAATACGCAAGCCGTTTTTCTCGTGAGAGATCGACGAACGCGTGTACTTTAAAATAATAACCGCTGGGATTTTCTTGACCATTAGCGCAAGGGTGTGGAGTGAGTATTCGAGCAGGTAAAAGTTGTGGGAAAAAAAATAACAAAAGAATGTGGACATATGACATTGAACTCTAAAACGGCGAATTTTTTCTCACTCCAGACTCCATACTTTTTAAAGCCTAGGGGGGTGAACGAAGGTTTCTAACACTTTCTTGAACTACCGCTAAACAGGAGAAGGCTTGTATCTGTTGTCAAGCGTGAGAAAAATTCGCTTCCTCAGTTTTAAGAGGGCGATGGCCAGTTTTATTTTCATTTTTCTTCATTTTCTATCACTCTTCCTGCCGTAAGGATTAGTTTACTGTTTTAACTTTAAAATTTGGTACTCAAGATTTTACTCAGAATCCAGGTCTACTAAAGATCCGGCTCACCCTCACTGGTTTGTGGTCGTGGTTTTGCCTTCACAAGTGTTTCTTTTTATTTTCAGTCAGAATCTCGGTGTCTTTTCCACTTATCTTTGCCGAGTGTGTACTTGGAGCAATTACATAAGCAAAATATAGCATATATTATATTTACAAAGAATAGATATATTTCGTGGAGACCATAAAATCTTTAAAACAAAACTGAATGCAGGTTTGGCACTACGGCAAAGGGCTGACTTATTATAGGCCAATGTTTCGGCTAACAAAATTAGCCTTCCTCAGGGTCAGAGCTATACCGAGCGAAAAAAAATCTTTATTGTTAGATGAGATGAGAGAGAATATACTTAGTCAAAAAGCAAGTTGATACTATAGTCGCCAAAAAGGTGCGACAATCATGTGAACCATTTCGCATACGAGTTACTGGAGAGTCACTGGCAGCTGTAAAGGGGCATTTCCCATAGTACTGGAGAACAAACTTTTCCGCAAAGTTTCTCTCTTCCCATGGTCGCTTTCCCCACTCAAGGTCAGAACACTGGGTGGAGTTTAAACGAAATAGATGGTTTTTTTCTTTATCGAAAAACACGCAGCTCGTAATCTTACTCTTCAGGTCCTGAACTAAGGAAAATTCGCCAATTTTCAGGATCTTTCCGACGCATGTAAGCGAAAGATTAGGCTTACGACAACTTGGATCATACCTCACTTTAAATGTTAATGAACTTTCGCATCCAAACTGGAGGCGCGAAGATGGTCCACTGCACTCATCCTGGTCAGCGTACATCGACTTAAAATGGTAGATTCCTTTACCAAGAGCTGGAAGTAAACAAGGCCGTTTGATTCTGGTTGGATTTTTCATGGCGATTTTTTCGATATTTCGACCCCAAATAGGATAAGGATCTTTTATATACGGAAGCCAACTCGAGCAGAACTGTTTCAGAATATGATACTTAAAGTATACGTCAGAATTTTTCACTTTGCGTTCTACAGGTACACTTTGTGAAAGTCTGTAAATCAACACGTCATTTCCGATTGCTTCAGTGACGCCAAAGCGCGTGATTCTTGAGCGACAGCCATTGGAGAAATTTGACAACAGCAAATAATCGTTCAAGTGGAATCTTGCGCGCCCAGTACCAGGCCACTTCTCGGTCACTACTGAACTGCATTTGTACGGAGCCTGGTGCTGGAAGAAATACCGATCCTTGCAGTGGAACCTGCCATAAGGAGAAATATCAACCATGGTCTCGTTTATAACCATCATCCGAAGCTTATTCTGTTGAGATTTTTCACTCCAAATTCCTTGAAGGTTTTTTGGGAAGGTGCATTGCGTTTTATTCAGCTCAGATGGATCCCTCGTTGATTGGTCAAAAGTCATCCTTTTCCTGATTTGTATTCTTAGGAAAATTGACGCGGCCGACAAATTTCGCCAACATGTTGGTTGGTCAAAAAATTCCACTTGAATCTCTCTATTTTTTCCCTTTGCATCGGCTCTCTGAAACCTAGCGCAAAGAAAGACTGACTCTTTGCTGTCATGGGATACTTTTCTTCCAAACTTTTGTCGTTTGACTATAAAATATGTAAATTGATTATCCTTCCACGGAGCACTGTAGCAAAGAAAGCGAAGCCAGTCCAGCCCAATTTCTGATTTCTTACTCCTCAAGGAGCAGTTTCTCTGTAGTGGTAGTTGTACAATAACACCCTCCATTCCCAAGCAGTCCGACTCGAATATGGCTGTATCATTGTCATTGTTGAAAAAGCACCTTTCATCTGTTTTTCCGTTGTAGAGTTGCATAATTTGAAATCCTCCATTCAGCTCAGCGGGACAGCTGGGTAGCTCTTGCATATTGCTTAGTATCAAAGGGTTTACATTAGTAATTAGACTCCGAGAATTACAAGTTAAACCTGAACTGTTCTCTCTCCAGCGAGACTGTTGATATTCGACCACATTTCGCCCCCTTTTTCGAAACTTTATACAGGAATACCTCACTCTTGTATCATTCTTGTTTGTAGCTTTCTTAGATAAAATTATAAAGACATGCGGAGCACGTTTCTCCCAACATCGAAACTCCTGTGGGTAAATCCATGAAGGAGATGACTTTAAAGCAACTATTTGAACCTTTCCACCTTTAAAGATCCATGACAATTCTCCACTTCTCTCAGTGTTTACATTCCCGTAGAAAGCATTATTTCCTTCATTTTCAAGCCGTCTTACTTGCAACCAATGTCTACAAATTTTGCTGGGTTGAGAACAAGATTCTTGCAGGAAACTCGGAAAAAAACAGGATGGTTTTTCTACCATTGCCCCTTCAGCAGTTAAATAGGTTTTCCGATTGCACGAGCCTATAAAAAACACCAGACAGAGGAACAGATGATTTCGAACTGTGGAGCCCATTTTTAAAAGAGTCTTACGCGTAATGCAATCATGCAGAACACAACGGACCAGCATGCTAATGCAATGCCTACATCATAAGTAGCCATTCAAGATAAACCGGAAGATAACAGAATCATGAAAGGAAGTGAAACACTCACTGACACTTCAGGAAGAGGAGTGGGAGTACTCAACAAATTTTTATATGGGGAGACTCCGCCCCGAGGTCCAACCCCTTACCCTTTTACATACCATTTTTCACGAAAAAGGTACCCCTTTCGTACACCTATTGACAAATGGTACTTCTTTCACATACCTCTTTTAGAACTTTGCATTCCTTTTAACTGTTGTAAATGCACTGTCGTTTAAATAGGAATCAATCACAAAAATAGAGCGTTTTCTCGACTTTATAAAGCCATAAAATTCATCTGTTAGCCTTTTTGGACCCTTTCACAGATCCAGATGACAGGTTCGGAGCCTCCCCATATAGGCCATTGTAGGGAGTACCCCCTTCCCCCCACCCCCCCGGGCTGACACTAAGGGGTCTGACTTTCCACAGTTTATCTCTTTTGTTCTGCCATAGCACTCTAACTAATTCAGGCCAGAAAATTTCAAATTGCCACAGGCTCAGTCAAAATCAAGTAAGCACCACAAACTTGTTCCCAGTGTTATTCCGGCCATTTCAAAATAACGAACAGATAAGACCCTAGGTCGGGAACGAGGTTGTTCTTGTGTAGACTCAAATATTGGGCAATTAGCACATCCCTCTCCATGGTGTTTGATCCACCTGGCATATAATTTTAATTTACGAAACTTTTGCCTACATAAATTGATATTCTCTTCTTCCAGATTGTAGCTGCTTGCAAGGCGTCGAAAAGCGGGATAAGTTGAGTGGATGAAGGAGATGTTCTTCGAAGTGGAAGTATCAAATACAACTTATGTAATAGAAAAGAAAATTAAAGTGACATGGAGAAGTCAGCATCTATAAGAGTAGCAGGTTCACAGTTCAATGTGTTTGCAACCAAAAGCGCGGATCGGAGCGACAAGCGAGACGAAGGAGGTGAGCTTGAAACTGCTATATATGTGGTCATATAGTGCTACCTTCCCCTTGGTTATACTTTGAACAAAAAAGTTAAGATAAAGCTTGAAGAGTTAATAGAGAAGAAAACTGTCTTCTAACTGTCTAGATTCTCCAGCTGGGCATTCTTAGGGATACTGGTCTAGCTTAATGTCACAACAACGCAGACGTGTTAGCTCAATTATTCAGCAAGCGAATGCCTGCGACCGCAAGCTACTCCGCTTGACCTAAATGTTGCGTGGAACTGTATCAACTCTCAGTTATGGGAAATTAGAGGAAGTTCTCCTCGTGATGAGTCTATAAGGGAGTTTTGGTGCCCAAACTGATGTCGTGATAGTTCGACTAATGATACACGTCTGTTTCGAAAAGATAAAGCTGCCAGAGCTCCTCAAAAAGGAATAGGAGATTTCTGTTTCCTTTCTTTTCTGATATAGAATAGATAAACCAATACTGATAGAATTTTGTCAAGTTGACAAGTGAAAAGTATAGCTTAAGCGTTTATTGATGATGGTAATTGAACTGAAAAACTTAATTGTTCATCATATCAGTGAAGGATACAAAAACTGTTATGTTCACTCTATACTGTTGAATTGGATTGTTATCTAAGGCTGGATTATTTTTAACGTTAGTAAAGAGGTTCGCTTCAGTTACTCCTAAATGATATTTAATGCAACTGAAAAATCAGGATAACGTTTTTCATTTCCACACCATAATACGTTTGCAAAGTTGGATAAATAAATTGTATACTTCCTTTAGTATGTTTCCGTCATTGAAATCAGGAAAAAAAATTGTCCTCTGCAGTAATTATTGAGCATCTCTCTACTAGTTCTCCAATATTTTCCGTGATATTGGGATAATATGTTTCTTTTGGAGAGACTGGGGAAAGCAGGAGATTGAATCCTCTAAGGACTAAAAGCCCTAAGAGAAAATGTTTGATGACGTTAGAAAATGAGAAAAAAGTGGAAAAAAAACTTCTTCACTTGGTGGTGGATGTCTGAACCGGAGTGGGGGGAAGGGGGTGGAAAGGAGAAATCCGGTTAATTTTATTTTGATCGTCAATACAGCAATGAGGGCCTAGAACCCTGGGGGATACTCCCTATAATGGCCTATACGGGAAGTCCCCGCCCGAAAGGGGTACCTCTTGAAAGCTTCAGGGATTTCACAGGTTGGAGTATATGAAAGGGTATGCAGCGAAATCTGTTATTTCAGTCTGCAAAAAGGCCCAAAAGGGGGAACAGATGCATTTTATGGCTATAAAAAATTCGACAAAACGTTCTTATTTTGAGGTTTATTCATATTTCAAAGACGGTGCATTTCCAGCAGGGATTTCGAGGAGATGGAAAGTTCTAAACTAGGCATGTGAAAGGGGTACCATTTGTCAATGTAAGGTATACGAAATGGGGTCCTTTTTCTGTCCAAAACAATATATTAAAGGGAAAGGGGTTGGATCTTTGGCCGGAGGACGCCTCCCCGTATAAAACTTTAATTTAACCCCGGCCCCGGGCTTAGAACCTGCTTCTTAACTTGTGGTTGGTTATACAACTGTCGTATAAGAGCAGAAATTGGCAGTCTGGAAGGTTCGTTATTGTATAAGAGCGCTTGCACAAAAATTTATAATGCATGTCTGGTTTTTAAGTAGACCCACAATAGTGAACCTCTTGACGTAAAAGATCTGTAGTCAAGTTCGCCTGTCAATTAAAATTGTTTTCAAATTCAAGAGGATCCGGATATTGACGTTGAAATTGCATGAAAAGGTAAGGCCATAAAGAGCATTTCCTATTGAGGTTATGGACAACTAATATTTATTGATAAGCGTTTACTGATGTTAATTGATTTTTCTTTTTATCGGACAATGGATTTCAAGTACTCCTTCAGATTTTTTATTCCTCGCGTAATTGCATAGTAGGCTATAAAGGAAAAAGTGTTCTACAGATCCATCTGTACATTTTCACGGAGTCCATTCAAGCAAACTCGTAGCAGAGTTCAACGAAAGAGGTAAGAAAGAGAATGGAAATTCAAACAAAAATTGATATATTTTCCTTTTTTTAGCTTCTCTATAACGTTTTTTTTTTCAAGTCAGTGTGCCTGGTGTCTATTGCAACCTTTAATGCCTTTTACGACTATAACCGTCTTAAAAAAACAAATCTTCCATCATAAGGGCTACACTAAAAAAGAAAACATTACGTGGTGTGTGCGTCTGATTCATCACCTTTTAAATCTCAAAAATCTTTTAGTAAGAATTGGTTGTCTAAAATAACACAAGCAGAAAGTGGCTGTGAATTTTTTAAGAACTCGGACACGAAAACTAACCTAGAAAAAAAAAAACATTACCGTAGTAATGTAAAATCAAAACATAGTCAATTATTTTCCAACGCTTTTTAAAATCACATCAGTTAATGATTTTTCACGAAGAATTTCTGACTTCCAGCTCGAGAACTAAAATCAACAACTTGTATACCGTCAGGAATAACTTAACCAAAGGAAGAATTAGATTAAGCCAATACATATGGGGATGATACAATAACAATACAAACTGAATAAGAAATGAGTTTTTCAATTTGCTTTTAGGCTGCTGGTTTAGTTGGAGAAACCATTGCACGCAGGGTACTGGCTTAGAGACCTTCAAAGCTTGATAATGGCGTCAATTTCTCTGCTTCTCTTGGTTTCTTTCCTTTGCATCACGATTCATGGCTGTTTTGGTGGCGATGCTCCTACCGTCAATGCCACCTTTTCCCCAACTGCACCAAGACTTCCGTGCGAGTATGTCGCCATCGGGAGATGTAATCATGAATTCAAAAACGTTTTCTTGATCGCCAAAAGGCGCGCAATCTATGCTGGACGAAGTCAAAGTTTTAAGGACAAGAAAAATGTTTATTGCCAAGCTCTTCAGGTATTAATTAAGCTTTACTGAGTATCGACCCTTTTTAATACTGTCGTGAAGTTCAGTCCTTCTTTTTTTTCCGAACAGTTTTTCCCCATCTCCCGTCACGGCAAGGTTAAGCGGTTGCCGTGAGTGTTTATGGGTGACGGCATTTTTCAGACTGTTTATCACGCCCTCTGATTGCCACCGTCTCATTTTGGTCAAAAGCTTAAGCGAAGCAAAATTGCACTTCAGTGAAACTTCGGAGATCCGTGGTGATATTCGTCTTCTTCTATCCATGGTATAATAACACTTGAACTCTGGACACAAACACTCACTTTTATCGTTGAAGGTATTGCTCTAGAGTTTTGCGTATTGCAAACCGCCGTGACACTGTTTAGATGGTTAAGGTTTAGGGGTCTGTTTGAGCTTTAGCCACAACTGAAGAGATGGAGAAGCTTCCCACTCGTATCTCCACCCCTTTGCGAGGGAAAAGAATAGGGAAATAAGAACACGGGTTTAAAATAGAGTGAATATTACACTGATCATTATTTATCGTTGTGCATCATTGTTGTCAACAGACTTTTATGGACTGCTTATGGAAATCTCTAAAGAAATGTCGAGGGGGTACCTGGCTTGCACAGTATAGCTTGGTCGTCCTGGAACATGGTGTGATGGACAAAAAATGTGCTGTGTGCCGTCGACATCGGGTTAGAAAACTTGAAAAGGCCTTAAATGGTAAGAGGAAAAAATAACAAAAAATTCCCTAAGACACTTTGGAAGTTAGTTTAAATATGTTGGGGCGCGACGGCTCCCTAACAAGTGTTAAAGGCCCTTTTTTCATGTTTTTTTTTTTCTCACTCTTGGATTATGTATTCGATGAACGCAAAAAATGAACGAATGTGAAAGTGCAAAGAGGGTGGGGGGTAGAGATCGGTAGCAAGAGTCAGTCCTCCTACCCCTACCACCTGGTGCTTTGCGCCTCATACGCTCGTCTCACCCAATATTTGTAGTGTTGCCGCGAATGGGTTATCTGTGCTCGTTACGCGTGGGCTATCTGTGAATACTTTCAGGCCTTTATTCGCCCTCTTATTTATTGAAGTGGCCAGTTTAAGATGATCTTTTCGTTACATACTCCTGACAAATCCTTCTTGGTCTACTTTTCAGCAAACAGGCTACAAAACTATGTTGGTAAGTGTTCCTTAAACTAGATAAAAAATACAACAACAATCTTCCTCATTAATCTAAATATTTATTTATAGCCAAAATAGGACCTCTTCAGCCATGAAAAGCAATGAAAGGAGGCTTTATTCGCAGGCTAATTACTAAAAATGAGCACGCGGGTGGGGGAGGGGACCAATCATTACATCGAGGACTGCCTAATATGCAAACTAATAAGGCCAAAAACCCTTGTCCTACCAAGTTGAGGATTTGGAGAGGGAAAATCTTTTAGTAACTTGAGTATTCGAAATATCAGGAGCCCATTACCCAGGCTGCAAGTATCACCAGATTCTACCCACGGAAATTCTCGCACTCGTGCTTCAGTGGCTGAGTGATAGTACCAAAATACCCTAATATCCCTGAGGTTACCACTGAAAAAGAACCATTGTTGCTGTTCCTATCCAGGTCATGATACCTGCCCAGCTTGCGCACGGTTTGTCCACCGAAAGTGCGTTAAGCGTTTCCTCGACAAGATGACGCAAGACACAAACATGTGTCACGATGTGCAGGAATTCATCGCTTGTTATGTTGAAGAGGGGGATCCTAAGAAATCTAGTTGTGGCCTGGAAAGGATTGTGAAGAATTTCTCTCGCCTATGTGGGCAGCTCGGAAAGCAAATGTTGAGAGAAGATGAGATTCACCCTGGCTTGATGTGCTGACAATGACAAGGCATCCAGAACGTGATTTGTTGGAAAGCTATAGGCATAAGTTGGTGAAAATATCAAAACTAAGCGGAAATAAACGTTGCACATCTTAATTAAGGAAATTAAACTTTATTATGCTAGAAGTCTGTTGTCAGTCTTTGGTCTACTTTATCTTTAATTGTCCTTTTGTGACTAAGATTATGGCCTCCAGTCAACAAACGTCCAGCTTTGAACTTCTTTTTTGCCCCTTCAGATAGCTCGTAACCTTACAAAACTTTGCATTATATTACCAAACAAGAGTGGACTTCCCAGCCTAGCTCTCTTACCCGGTTGTTCGCGCGAAGTCTTGGAAAGGGTCGGCGAGTCCGTTCTCGATGACGTCACAGCTCACGGGAGAGTCCAGAAATGACCGTGCCAATAAACGCCTTGGGGCTAGGCTGGGGTCTTTCATGTGCTGATATTGATTTTCCTCTAGGTTTAAAATTAACCATTCAGCTGAGGTCATTGCTATGAGATTGTGTGGACATAGCCTCCCCCGCAGACATCACTGCCCTGCTTAAGGGAACGCGTGGGAGAATGGGGAGAGAAAGGGGAGCGACAGTGAACAACTCTTTTTTACTCCTTTTCTGGTTCTCAGACTTCTCACGGTCACTGTAACCATTCTGCAGAGGAGGCTAGAGTGGAAATACAGGCAGATCATTCAAATCAAAGAACCAATAAGAACTCAACTCATTCCACTTGCCAAGCATGGGAAAATAGGCATAACGCGATTGGCTTTTGCTCTTACTCTTGATTGGCTAATATATTATAGTGATGGGAGAATTTTCAGTCTGTCACAACAATTAGACACCAAATGCACAGCTTATAATGAGAGGCAGGGCAAACAAGATGGCGGCGATCGGAAGACAAAAACCCATTCACATTTTTCATTCTTCAATACATATCCTTTAATAACTCACACCTGTTTCTATGGAATTGAACATTTATGGAACGTCAAGGGGATAGGATCTCTTTTTATGCTGCAAAACTGAAAAGAACAAGTTCTAGCTCCAGCATAATGTACCTTTTTGCATTAAAATGTACAAAGCATGAAAACATGCCTAGCGGGTACCCGGTCCATGGGCATACCCACAGTGCACCAACCAGTCTGAAATAAACTCGTAGAGACCCTGTTCTAGATACATACATTTGTAGGTATTTTGGAATTGAAGTTTCCTTTACCCGCAGCCCCCCACCCCTACCCCTGGAAGAAAGCATTAGAGAAAATAAGAAGAGAAAAAATACGAAAAAAAGTGATTGATTGACTGATTTATTTTAATTGATTGATTGATTGATTAAAATAAAATAGGACATTTACCATTTCCATGAGCAATGATAACTACATTGATTGCATGCAACTCCTTTCTGGGTGGGCCAATGAAGGGTACACATCTTTTGACAAAATTATGGACAATTGGTCATATTAAGTAAGTAAACAAACTAAAGTCCTACAATAAAATTATATTATTCCTTGATAGCAGCATCTCTCTTTTCACTGGGAGCCTTTTTAAGTTATCTTTCGCTAAAAGATGTGACAATTTGACAACGAAACTGTTAGCCTGAAAGGTATTTTGTACCTCAACTACTTTTCATACTAGATTACTGTTTTTGAATAATTTCACTTTCTTCAGTGTTTTGGAAAGTACCAAATGATGAGTAAATGTCTGAATTAATAAAGACTAACTCTTGTAATATTCTCTCTCATTTCAAAATCTGAAGTGTTGGCATCTCATAGGATGAAGAACATTTAATTTAATTCAATATAAAAAAAATACCAACTCTCTTCTAACTGGTAGACTCCTGGATACAAAGAACATCACATATTTACCTACATGGGACCTCAAATCTCCCAAATGAAATTAACTAGCCCCCCTAGTGTAATGGATGAGCCAAAGATAAAAACATGTGTGAATAAACAAGCTGAAGACAGCAGTGGGATACTTTGTGTGAAACTGTCCATCCAAGTCTCAATCTCGTTTCATTGTTTGTGCTCACTGGAGGACTCTGGAGTGGAATGCGGAAAAGATCCTTTATTTTAGGCAAAATGTAAATCCTCATAGAGGTGCAGAAATGTCAAGAATGTATTTATTATGTCACTGCTGGCAGAGGAGGCTAGAGTGGAAATACAGGCAGATTGTTCAAATCAAAGAACCAATAAGAACTCAACTCATTGCCAATATTTACCTACAAGGGACCTCAATTCTCCCAAATGAAATTAGCCAGCCCCCTTGTGTATAGCCTGCGAAAAATGAATGAGCAAAAGAAAAAAATGTCCATGAATAAACAAGCTGAAGACAGCAGTGGGACACTTTTAATCTATTGGTAGTATGGTCTGCCGTAAACCCAAAATTTCACAAAATTAGGCTCTTCAAAATTAATTTACGCATTCTGATGATACTTATATGTAACTATGACTATAAGCATTCATCACCACTGTAAACACTGTTACTGATTTGAAGGCTGAGTTGACTGCGTACCAGGGGTGGGGCAAGTTGATGAGGTAGGAGGGGTGGTCCAAAGAATCAATATCCAGATTTTACGTCTACAGAGGTTGGCATTTCTGTATAATAGGTAACATGAATCACAGCAAAAAAATTTATATTATTATATATTATTAGTATTCTTCATGTTACTGTAAAACTAACAAATCTGTGAACCCCAGAAATATTGCGGGAAAGTTATAGTGTTTAAAAAAATTCAATCAGGGATGAGAAAACTAAAGTTATGTGCATTGGCCCAACAATGTTGGGAGTTGTTGTGTCCATTTGCTCGTGGCTAAAAGATTTACCATTTTCAAACTTTGCACAACAACTTCCAGCAACACACAACAACATGCAACAGGTATGCAAACAGACACAACAAGTAACATCCGACAATGTTGCATTTGTTTGCACAGGGTTTAAAGCGCAAGAAACAAAAATTCTTGGTTTGTGGTTTTGTGGCTAGCTCGCATGTCCTGATCAGTGTGTTAGTCACCACACAATAAACACGGTTTATTTTGCTCACGGTTTTGTTAGTTTGACAGTAAAGCAACTGATAACTAATGCAACATAGTATGTCAGAACAAGTCTTATTAAAAATGCTAAAATGCTAATTTGAACTACTTTCACCAAAACAAACATACGGTTCATCTATCTAGGTTGATAGGGATACCCCTGTGGAGGAAACCCCCCAGGGGGTGGATAGTAGCCCCCTGGAGGTGGGGCACCATAAGGAGCACCAGAAGGAGGGGGAGCTGTGCCCATTGGATACTGCGGAGAAGCTGCTCCGGGATATCCCCCGTATGGTCCTGGTGCTGGATAGGGGCTTGGTGCACCGTATGGTGGTGCTCCTGGAAACGGTGCTTGTGCAGGATATCCTCCGGGTTGAGGTGGCATCCCAGGGAATCCTCCGGCGCCCGGGAAACCTCCGGTGCCTGGGAAAGGTTGAGGTCCAGGTTGAGGTGGAAGTCCGGGCTGTCGGGGCGGTTGCCCCATAGCGGAGCGATTCATAAGAATTTCTCTCGCTCGATCTCGGTCCCTTGAGAAGCTGAGCACGCTGTCTAAAGCGGACAAGTTATTGTCATTGATGAGGCCAGCAATCAATTCCAACGCCTTAGTCTTGGATTTGTCAAAGGAGAAAACGCCCATTATGGTCGCTGCCTGCTGACAAGATAAACTGTACATTCGCGGAGCACAAATCTCAACCACTGTTAACCTATCGTCATCGAACGGGAACTCCTGGACCAGCTGAGCGACTTGTTCACCAGACAAATAACCATATGAGCAGGGAAGAGTTGACCGAATCGCATTCAATTTCTCGTCCTTGAAGGATTTTGACTGAACGGCTCGTTTAATGTTGTCAAAGCTGCTTGGATCCATTACAATGTTGATTTTTTTTATCGACAATCAACGTACACTGTCGACAAACCTCTACGAGCGAAAAGACAACTCGAGTATTCTTCTTTAGGGAAGGGACGATTCTCATCCAAATATGGCCATAAGTGGTGATGACGTGTAAAGTGAATGAGGTAAAGTAACTTCCGTAACTTGTATTTCCGGTTTCGATCTTTCACATAATTGATTTCGATACTTACCCATCGCGTTCACTTCTGTCCGTTACGAATTTTAAGTTGGTCATTCTTGGCGACAAATGACAACTTTTATGTAAGAAGAAAACCACTTCTGGTAAGTGGAAACACGGAACTGTTCGCGCAAAGACAAAGAAAAACCCCAGAAATGCAAGAAAGAACCTACAACTATTCATGTTTATGAAGTTGAGTTACCTTAAATAGATAATGCGGAATATTTCAAGCAGGAAAAGGGCAAGTATCGATAGTGTTTTGGTTTCGAGGTTAACGGGTATATAACAAAAGAACTGGCATTGAGATTCACAGATAAATAATTCATTTCTTTTGTTTTATTCCTCTCAACCTCAGAGCCAAGTATGAATTTAGATAATTCGAAACTGGCCTATTCATCCAGGGGTCAATTTCATAAAACTTTTACACGTGTAATTTACAAGTGTAGCTATTGTTCTCAGACTCTAAAACAATGGCTACACTTGTGAATGACACGTGTAAAAGTTTTATTAAATTGACCACAAGGCCGCTAGATCTTGCACAGGACACCCAGCTAGGCAATCCTTCAATGAATGCCCCGGTGTATTAGATAGACTGACTGTTTCTTCAAGGATAAACTGCTGAATTTTAAACTGAATTTTGGCAAAATTAAGCGCCTTGTTTATAGTAAAAATATCAACAAAATAACGTTGTAATTAAACTGAATCTAACGGCCCTTTTATGCGAAAAGTTTGTAATATCCGTTCGTTTGGCCAACTACAACCTCCAAATAGACAATCTCATCCCGTTTCCCCCACCCCTACCCAAACTTACTCACCCCCCGTACCCCTACCCCCACCCAGACTAACTCATCGTCTTTTCCATCCCTGTACCCCGACCAACTCCTCCTCTTCCCCCTGCATTCAACTTCACCAACCCTAACCTAAAACCTGCGCAAGCTGGACAACACAGACCAATAAGTCAACTCTGATGAGTTCAGCAGGTTATTGGACCAACCAACAAAATTCAGTATTCATTTAATAATATTTCATGAATTGCACAAGTTGGATCACGTTGTTAAAAAAGGAAGTAACCTTCAGGTTACCAGAGACTCATAAGGAGTTGAAAACTCCTTACGAGCTTCTGTAGATTTTCTAGAATCAATGTTCAGACAAAATGCAGCTAACTACTTCATGGATTAATCGACATTAGCCAAAACAAGAAGAATTACAAAACTGGTTAACTAAAGAAAAGTTTAACTTTTAACTGATATAATTATGAAATATTCAACGAAAACTAAGTTATTTTTTTACAATACAGTCCCTGTTTTGGGTTTCAATTCAAAGGATAACGCAATCGTTCTTTTTGCGATGTACGATCCTGTAATGTTCCAAAGATATCGAACTCGTCGAAAGTCATAACTAGAGGATAATTTCACCGTCATCTCCATAGGGTCATTTATTCAAACGCAAGACTGAGTCTGCGGTAGGCTCTTCAAACAGCTAGGTTTGAATCCGCCACTTTGAGGTTGCGCGGGAGACCGAGTCGAGATGGTTGTCAAGTGCACTGTGGGACTGTTTTGGGGGACGCATTTTCAACATGGGGGCAAATTCGTCCCCCAAAACAGTCCCACAATGCACTTTGACAAGCATCTCGACCCGGTCCCCCGCGCAACCACAAAGTGGCGAATACCACTTTCGCACTATTAATTCGCGCTGTGACCTGAGCATGCGCACATTCTTCTCCCTTCTTCATCACGGTTGGTGATATTCGCATTCTTCGGTATCAATGGCCAGCTGTTATTTCAGTGATATAGCTTGGGACCAGCTGACGTAGTTCCGCTAGAGAACAGTCCTCGGGCATCGGCAACCGGGTCACGTGAGGGGCTAGGATATGAGTTGGTAAAAGAGCCTCCCCTTCATCTGTCAGGTCCGTCTAAAAATGAATCAAATTACCAATTATAAGGGCAAACAAGAATTTGAAAGCACTCTGACAAGGTCATTTCCAGGGTTGAAGTGGGACGATTTCATGAGGGACAAAAGCCAGTGCTTCATCCAGGCTATCAACAGTTTCCTTTACAAGAGAAGTTTGTTCTTAAACTGTAAACCACGCTTACCAGCTCTTTCATGACGATCTTCATGAAATTTGCGCACATTTTAGCCATATCGTATTGGCATAACCTGTAAAGGAAGAAGAGAACACGGCAATCAGTTTGACAGTATAATATATTTTTGTCCAACTTAAAGGCGCATAATAAAGTGCTATTCAATGAAAATCAACTTTTATGGCTATTGTTCTTTGTGAAGAAAGGAGTTTAAAGATTACAGTCGATACGGTTGTTTCTTTCACTTATCTTTCACATTAACTCCGAGGAGACAGTAACAGACGGCAAAAAAAGGAACTGTTGTTTAATACAGCATTTCTGAGTTTCAAAATCCGTCAGTTTCTAAAGAAATTCAAGTTTAAAACGATCCTCCAATACCACCTGTCTTTGGGGGACTCTGAAATAAGACCCCCTTCCCCCTCCCTTCACCACCTACGAATTTCCAACTTTCTACATCATGAACCAAACAACATCACAAACAGTTAAAAAAAACACAGGGCCATTCGATGCGAAACAATTACTTACAAGTCTCTGCTTGTGTTGGATGGCAAAATGTTGATTCTGGTGCAGAGGGAGGAGACATCAGCATGAATATCTTCCAGATCATACTTCGTTGGTACAACTTTGCCCTACAACAATGCAAGACAGTTGTTAATTTACTGTTGTCATGCATTGTGGATCACTAAAGCACGCAGACTTAACGATGACGTCATTTGAACACAACTACCGTAATTTGCCAAGATTTTGTTTTCTTATGCAAAATATAGCTGTTGTTATGAAAACAAAATAAGTTAAGGGGGAAATGGTACATTCAGTCCAGGAAGTTAATAGAAAAATCATGCACTGTCGTTTGGGATAATATTGCTTCTTTTCTCCTTTCAATAAGTACGGTGAAATATCTGAGTTTCATCAATAACATATTATGAGTAACCAATCAAATACTGCAAGGTAAAATAATAATGATGATGATGATGACGATGATAACAATAATAATAATGGGGACACAAATATGTTTGTGTTACCTTGGCAATGTCTTGAAACTTTTCCATTAGTGCGAGGTAATCCAAAAATACCTTGTATGAAAGAGCACAAAGATGAGAACGCGACTGGAAATTAGGGGCTTAACATACACCGTTTCTGCCGACGACTGCAGGAAGGGGAACATGTTTACCATGTGTGAGTACTAAAGGGGACCATGTTTGCCCAAATGTGGTAGTGTTAGCTTTACTGTTCTACCCGGGAACCAAGCCGTTTCTCCCTGGGGATTTACCTGTACCCGTTCCCGTTCCCGTACACCAGCATGTAGAAAAGGTTACATCTTAAGGTCTCCATTAACTTGGCTATTTCTATCCTCATCATCTGATTGGCTGAGAATCTTGTGCCAAGGTCTTCACGTTGTTCAGACTAGTTTTTCCGCGCTCCACGNATGGGGACACAAATATGTTTGTGTTACCTTGGCAATGTCTTGAAACTTTTCCATTAGTGCGAGGTAATCCAAAAATACCTTGTATGAAAGAGCACAAAGATGAGAACGCGACTGGAAATTAGGGGCTTAACATACACCGTTTCTGCCGACGACTGCAGGAAGGGGAACATGTTTACCATGTGTGAGTACTAAAGGGGACCATGTTTGCCCAAATGTGGTAGTGTTAGCTTTACTGTTCTACCCGAGAACCAAGCCGTTTCTCCCTGGGAATTTACCTGTACCCGTTCCCGTTCCCGTACACCAGCATGTAGAAAAGGTTACATCTTAAGGTCTCCATTAACTTGGCTATTTCTATCCTCATCATCTGATTGGCTGAGAATCTTGTGCCAAGGTCTTCACGTTGTTCAGACTAGTTTTTCCGCGCTCCACGCGAGCTGTATGTTTCGGTGTCTGAATGTCTCATTTTGTTGTTTATTGGACTGGATTGTGATAGTCTGGGTTTACGGAACTAAACTGGAAACCGCTCTAAATGCAAGAACATTCCCGTCCCCAGATCTGCAAGAGCTCTCGGCTCATGGCGCTGACCATCAACGATTGCAGCTACGGGGATAACAATGGACTTATGACAAACCTGTCCTCCTGTCGCCCAGTCCCTCACGGTGGAGCTACGATCTCTCGGTTCCATTTCTCCAAGCAATGTCTTCAAAATGTCGTACTCCCCTAAAAGAAAGAATTAATTTGTTAAAGCGTTGAATTACAATACACATCGTCCAGGCAATATAAAGGAATTTTTCAAATTCTTACCGTTGATGATCGCATCACTGACGAGGCTGCGCAATACAACGTTATGCCCCAGACTCCAATGACGCGCCTTAACCAGATGAAAAGCTTCCTCGCGAGTTCGATCCTCGTAGCGCGAACGTAAAGCCTGAAAGTAATGGGAAAAAGTCTCCTTTCAGCTGCGACACCTCTCGCCACCTAATGGTCCACCGAAGTTAGCATTTCACTTTTTTCCCACATTTTTGGGCAAAATAGGGTACAAAGGGTAGAAAAGGCCACTACTAATTTCCTTAAAAAGTTTCATATCACACATCACATCGTGGATAACATAAAGCTTCGTGGAGTAGCGCCTCTTGGAAGGTGTTTTCGGGAAGCAGTTGACAGAATTTAAATCTGCTTTGCATGTACAATATACAGGGAGACCATACAATATTTATCAAAAACGCGATTGAATTATAAAAAAGAGGCCGATTTCTTCTTGGCTATATCCTGTTTGCCAAGTTTTGTTGTT